CAAAAGATGTCATTCATTAAGAGAGTGAAATGTAGGCTATAGAGTGAGAAAAGATGTTTGCTATACCTGTATCCTTGAAAGGACTTGTACCAGAAATACATAAACAACTTCTAAAAATGAGTAAGACAGCAACCCAGTAGAAAAATAGGTAAAAGATTTGAACGGCTACTTCACAAGAGACCATATGAATGGCCAATAAGCATAAGAGAAGGGGATCAAGAGCATTTGTCATCAGGAAAGACAACTAAAACCACAATGACATACCATTACACACTCTTCAGGACAACATCAAGTGTTGACAAGGACGTGGCGCCACCACAGCTCTGGTGGGAGATTGACTGCTGACAAAATGTGAACTGGCATAACCGGTCTGCTAAAGCTCAGCACACAGGTACCCTGTGACTCATTAATTCTGAGCCTAGACTCAACTAAACACACACATACATTCACCAAAAACCCATATAAGAACAGTCATAGCAGTACTACTTATGGTAGTCCCAAACTGGAAATGACGCTCCTGCTACCAGTAGTAGAGAGAAACTGTAAAACACTAAGTATCAACAAAGTTGAATGAGCTACTGGTATAGCAACAACACAGCCGACTCAAAAAAACAATGTAGAGTGAAAGGAACCAAAGACAAAAAGAGAACACATTAAATTACATTCAGAATTGGGCAAGTCATGGTGTTAATGTCAGGGTATTTGGGAAGGAGGTGAGGAAAGCAAGCAGAAGAGGGCATGAGGGGGCATCTGAAGTCCTGGTAATATTCCATTCTTTCCTCATAGTGAGCAGTAACATGCATGGATTCACTCAGTGATAGACTGAGCCCTGCACTTAGGATTTGTGCATTTATTTGCCTGTACACACTGCTTAGAGCTTAGGTTAAAAATACATCATTACCCTCACTCAGCACCACAGGAAAGGTGGCAGAGGGACTCTGTAAAATGAGTTGTCACAAACTTGCCACGTTCAGAAAATTATTTCCTTTATCCTGGACCATGATCTCAAAAAGCCCAAAGTGAAATATCAAGATGTGGGAAAAGCATTTTCCTCTTGCTTCTTGCATGTATTGATGCCGCACAGTGCATCAGTAAATGGCAACCAGACGTGTGAACTAGAACACCTTTGCTCCATCTACAAAGGGCAGTGGTATTCGCCTCCAGGGGAAGTGGTCAGTGTAAATGTGGGCCCAGAATCGTACATAAACCACCCCCAATGGGGAATAGTCACTCCACAATCCCTTCTCCACTTTTCTCTCCTTTGGGGATTTTGGGCATGATTCTCAAGCCACCAGGTCCAAGACTCAAACCATGCAATAAGCCATGTAGGATCCAATCATCTTAATTACCATGCCACTGGCTGGCTCTGTACAGTAATTTTCAACAAGACTATTTTCTCAGTCATTATTTTGAAGATCAGTTGTTTTCTCTGGGAGGTAGTGGCCCTCATCTGTAACAGAGCTAATGCCAAAGTCTTGCAGATTTATTGGCCATTATTTATTCTCTCCTGTCACTTTCAGTTTTGTAACTGGGCTACCACTGTCTTCAGAGTGCAATAATGGGCCTGGGTCTGCTGCAGGAGGAAGGCAGTTGCTGGGAAGAACCTGGAATTTGAAGTCACTCTGACTCAGACTGGTCTCCTCAGCTCTGCCTTTACCAGCTGTGGGAAGTTGGGCAAGTTAATAACCAGTCTGAGCGACAGTTCTACCATTCAAAAAATAAGGACACCGTACCCTGCCCTCAAAAGTCACTGCCATGTCATCATCAAACACCAGCCCCCCAGCTCTGTGCCAGGGTCTGAGTTGGCAGGCACTTTCTCATCAGGCCTCATCACTCCTCTGCAAGGCAGGTCCTCTTATTGTCATTATTTACACATGAGAGTGAGGATGCTCAGAAAGCTGGTGTGTGAAAAGTCAATGAGCAGGTAGAACCAGCAGTTAGCATAATGGCTATGTTGCTAGACTCGCATGAAGTCAACTGTAGTTCGAGTCCTGGACCCGGTGGCTTAAACTCATGCCGGGCACATGTGCATGCCCAAGATCCCAAGAGGAGAAGGGATTGCAGCATGGCCATCTCCCCTGGGGGGTGATTTCTCGCTTTCTATCTCTCTGTCTCTCTGTGTCTTTCTGGTGAGCACACAGGCCCTATAGCAAAAACTTCTACAAAAAAAAGTCATTGAGCAGGGATTTCAATGCCATGGCCCAACCTCTACACTTCAGAAAGTGCACCTGCAGGGGCAAGGCCGTGAGTGATGCTCATTTCCATCTTCATTCTGTCTAGAGGGCTCATCCAAATGGCTTTTAAAACTGCCACAAGAAGAGCCAGCTAACCAGTGGCATAGTGGTTAAGGTGGTTGGGTCTCATTTGGTCACTATGTGGTTCGAATCCCGGACCCGGAACTTGAAAAATACATTGGGTGTATATGTAAGAAGAGAATGGAGAAGGGATTGCAACATGACTATTCTCCCCAAGGTTGCTGCATTCTCACTTTCCTCTCTCTAGCAAGCTCACATATCTTACAGTAAAATTTTAAAATATTATTTTTAAAAAGAACTGCCATAAGAAGCCACTGATCTTCCCCAACATGTAACACTTGGAAAACCACCTTCCTCCTCTCTGGTGAGAACTTTAATCAAACATTCAATAGGAGGAAAGAAATTTTAATCAGCCAAGGACCATCTATCAGCCGTGAATGGTTAATTAACACGGCTGACAATGATGACAGTGAGGCCCTTGGCAGTCACTCAAGGGCTAGGCTAGTTTGGTCTGCTCCCTGCTTCTAATTGGCAGGAGGCTGCCCAGCACATCCTCATCAGCAGAAAATAGTCTAAGACTCTGCCCATCCCTCCTCTTCACCAGCCTGGCATAGAATTCAAACAAGGAAGACAGAGAAAAGCAAGGGGAATGTGGGAATGCGAATGCTAGAGATACCTTACAAAGGGTCAGTGCTTCTCTTGATTAGCAGGGCCAAGTAACAAAGACAACTCTAGTCTGAATGAGAATAAGAAGACATTCTTCAAGGCCAAAAGGTCAGAGCCTTAGGGAGAATGAGATGGAAGAAGAGATTAAATGTTAAAAGGGTGCTGGGAAGAGGAGGGAAACTGGTTAAACATTTATCAGGTGTTACTAAACCAGCTGCTTCAAATGAACTTCTCTCTGAATCCTCCTGACAGCCCCCCAGATGGATGAAATAAAACTAAGGCTCAGAGCAGAACTTCCTCAAGGTCATATGAGACTTACCTTCCAAAGCCAGAGTTGCCACTGCCACACCTGACAATGAGGTGGAAGCAGGCCAAGAGCCCATGGATACTCCACATCCATCCCTCTCAGGTAGTTACCCAAACACAGAAAAGATGGAAACAATAATATGAGGGCCCAGCAAGCCTGAGGGGGGGGGTCTCTGGGAAAAGTGATGTCCTCCAAAAGCTGGTCAACCAACCATAACACTAAGTCACCTGGTGCAGAGGCTCAGGGAAACATCCCACAGACAAGGAGCTGCAGGGACACAATCGAGGTTGACATGTGAGGTGGCCTGGACAGCTGCCAGTGATTACAGCAAGGACTGAGGCCCTCGATGCTGTCTCTTCTCTGAACTGGCTCCCTACTTCCTGGCTTTTTAAGAAGGAAGGGGACCCAGGAACACAGAAAAACATTCAACAGTGACAGGAATCCCTCTCAAAGCTGTCGCCTGACCTCAACAGGAACCACATGTCTTACTGGAAGGGAGCAACTAGTGAGATGGACCACAGGCATCAAAGATGTGCTGAGGGGCTGAGAAAAAGGAAGGGAGGTACAGCCACATGAGAGGAGGGGCAGGCTAGAGATTCAGTTAGCAGAAATTTCCAGACTCCTCCTCCGAACGGGATGAGGTCTGACTTTCTGCTGTGAGAGGAGAACTAATAAAAGATAACACACTTTGCTCAGCAGTAAAGCGGCATTATCAGTGATGAGATTCAGGGATTGGGGCAGCAGCCGCCAGCAAGGTGGGAAGAATCTGCTCTTTGAAATGCTGAGGGAGGGGACATTTTCTCTAGGACTTGATACACTTCAAGGTTCAGATGCAAAGCAGACCCCTCTGAAGTTAGGTCCCTACTACCCAGAGGGCTGTCCTGAGAATTGAATAAGTCAATTTTATCAAAGATAATGAAGTGCCAGGCTTGTACTGGGTATGAAATGCTACCAGGATCCCGGCCATTCACAGATTGTTTTGGAACAGTAAAAAGGATGGCAGCAGAGCTCAAAACCCAGAGATCTGAGAGGTTTCCGCTGCTGTTGTTGAAGACATTTCATTACAAGATGCCACGCTACCCCTGTGCATAAAATTAAGATTTTATTCATTTTCCAGCAAGTGTCACACCACATTGGTGAAATTAACATCTTGGTTATCACAAAGAGCCCTGAACCCAGAGGAAACTGTAACACGTGGCTCTGTGAGTTCTGCACAAAAGATGACTTCATTTAAAATAAGATGCCAGGCACATCTCTTTTTGAGTACAAATAAGACTTGGATTTCTGCACATGAATTTCTGTGTGCATAAACATGCACATCCCACCCTGGGCCCACACAATGACTGCTATTAAAAAATAAGTGAGAGGGGCCAGCAAGTGGCCTAGTGATTAAGGTGCTGGACTCCCACATGGTCAACCCAGTTCAAGTCCTGGACCCAGCAGCTTGAAACACACTGTGTGTGTGTGTGTGTGTGTGTGTGTGCGCACGCACACACCCAAAGTCCCAAGAGGAGAATGGAGAAGAAGGGATGGCAGCATGGCCATCCCCCTAGGGGTTGATTTCTCACTTTCTCTGTCTCTCTGTCTTTGGTGAGTATACACACCCTACAGCAAAAATCTCTCTTATAAAAAGAAAAAAGTGAGAGTTATGCCCTAAAATTTCATAAATGCATTATTTCTAGATCAGAAAAATATAAGTAAGAGCAAAAAGAGCAGGAGAGAAGAGAAGCTCTGCTGAGCTGCGGCGGGGTGGGGGGTGGGGGGGAGCGTACCTGTGTCGGTTTTGCTGGAGAAGCCCGCAGCCTGTTTGATGGCAGCTGCTGTGAGTGCTAATCCCCGGCTCCTCTTCAAGCCATGCTGCAGGACGGCTTCAAACTGGGCACACAGACAGGTCACCCTACGAGAGAACCAGTGACTCATCAATCCACCCTGTGAAGGAAGTAGTAACCGGGGTGGCCCCACATCTCCAAGAAGTGCGTGAGCCACCTTATGCAAACCTGAAGGTCCACAGGAGATGCCTACCTCCCCCCATTTATATTCATTTTCCATAAATTAGGGATATCCCACACCTGGCCTGACCTTAGTTGGTAGTAGGCTCCTGAAGGCATAGTAACCACTCACAAGGAACAGGGAAAAGGGGCATGGGTGCCAGCCAGCAGGAGGGGAAAACAATCTAAAAACAAATCAGTTCAGTGTGGGCAGGGGGTGGCGCTAACTGCATCCAATTCACAATTTTCAATTCTAATTTAGCCCATGTTGGCGTAAGTAATAAGAATTATAAATTCAGACTGAATTCACCAGCCTGCCAAGTTGGAAATGTTGTATAATGTCATGGCCTGTTAGTACACTAAAAAAAAAAAATTCTGATTCCTATTCTTTATTTTGTTGTAAGAGCTTACATTGTGAACTCAGATCCAGAGTTGACAGAATTTCCAATTAACTTACCATTACTGTGCATTTAGTTGAATTTATTTCTCAATAACCAAAGAAGATTCAAAAATATCTAGGAAGAGATGAGGAGGTCACAGCAACTACACTCGATGCTCCGTGATCCACCCGCGGCTCATAGGCCCCTGCCCAGCTGGTCTGTGGGCTTCAGGGCCCAAGCCATTTACTCGTGTAAAACATGTTAAGACATCCTGAAAGTGTTCCATGTGCCGGACACTGCTCTCAGATCTGAGAGCACAAAGACAGGCGTGAGACAGGCAAGGTCTTGGCCTCGCCGCGTCTACACAGCTTTGGCTGAGGACGATGCACAAATAAGCTCACCCGTCATTTCAGTTAACAAGAACCTCGAGAATATGAAATAGGGTGAGGTGGTAGATGGGGATGGGGCAGGCACAGGCTTTAGTTTGTGGCCTGAATGGAGGCAGTCTGAGAGTTACAACCGGGGCATGACAAGAGGCAGCCAGCTAGAGAGAGAGACCCAGGACAAAGCCTCTGAGGCCACCAACCATCTGGCTCATCCTTGCCTCACTGCTGGGGCATTTCCTGCTCCACCCACCCCACACCTGTAGTAATAATACCCCAGGTGTTTATCAGCCTGTGGGTGGTAAAAGAATTTCATCCCTTTTAGCTCACCTGTTCCTCCTACCAACAGTATGACACAGGTGAAGCAGGTATTACCTCCGCATTACATTTACAAAAACTGCAGCTAAGCATATTTAGGTGACCTCCTGAAGACACTGCATCATAAGCAGCAACATCTGTACTCCATGTCAATGTAGCGTGGCTTCCGCTTACACCCATGCCAGTGAGACAAACATCCTTATTCTAAGATAGAAGTCCCCTCGCTGTCATACCCAACCTTTATTAAATCATTCTGTCCACGCCAGATGACCCTAACACAGCATCAGCAAATACACAGCACTAGTACATTTACTGTGTCCATGACAGACATCACTAATCCATCCCAGCATTCTAGACTGCCATTACCAAATGATCAAAGTTAGCTCTCCTCAGGAGGAGGACTATTCAGCATCCCAAACCTCCTATCTTGTCTTTCCTGGACCCTCTGCACCTAGCTCAGTACCTGGCAGTGTGTGTTCTGCAAATGCTTTCCCAGTAGGTAGGTAAATGCATGATTAGCTTTGAACCATGGAGTCCTCTCACTGAAGCAACCTCTGCTAGGCAAATGTCCCTTTTAAATATTAGATGTGCATATGCTAGTCTCTATCTGTGTAGACACAATTTGTGAATTTCCTGAAAGCTGGGACACCAACCAAACTACTTAAACCCTATAAGAACTAAGACCAGCAGGTGGCGAGGTGGTTACATTGCTGGACTCCCACAGTTTGAGTCCAGGACCTGGAGGTTTAAAATTCACACCAGGCGCATGTCCATGAGTGCCCAAAAATCCTGAGAGGAAAATGGAGGAGAAGGGATTGCGACATGGCCATGCCCCTGGGCAGGGGTGGGGGGTAGGGGGTAATTTCTCATTTTCCATCTCTCTCTGTCTCTCTGGCAGGCACACGTCTCCTAGAGCAAAATATTCTCTTAAAAAAGAAAAAAAAAATCTTTTAAAAAGAAAAAGAGAAAACTGGTCTAGCCACCGTGGCACATGCTGCTAACTAAGACTTTGCTCCACAAGCTGGGACCACAAGGGAGGCCCAGGTTCAATTCCTGGTCTAACCTAAATGCTGGCCACAGTGGCATAAGCCTGTAATCCCAGTAACTCTAGGAGGCTGAGGCAAGAGAACTGCAAGTGCAAGGTTGGCCTGGTCAGTACAGTTAGTCCTGCCTGGAAAAAACCAGGCAAGATGGTACACACCTCTAGTTGCAGCTGGGAGGCTAAGGCAAGAGCAAAGCCTCCACACAGGGTACCCAGTAAAAGTTCGATGATGGCATAAAGCAATTCATCAATAGAAAATAAAGTGATTTCCTGCTGTCAAATTTATAAGTCCACCAACACCAGCATAACTGTACACTGTACCAACTCAAGTAATTTACCCCAAGACTCCGCAAGTATTTGTGTTTATGAGTTCTGTCCTATATTTCAAGCCTGCTTAACCTGCCACATTAACCTATAATAGGACTAGTAAGACTCCTGTACTATTTTATGGCAAATGTTAAAACAACAGACAGAATCAGCAATAAATGCTACATTTTTATGAATAGCATAAAATTAACCTTGAGACAGAAGGGTATATTTCAAACTGATTGTTTTACTATGTTATAGTTTTACTGGAACGTTTTGACAAAACCAAGTGACAGTGGGTTATTCTCATTTACAAAGCTCCAGTGTTACTTGACATGGAGTCAAATGCACCCACAGAATACGACCAATTAACAGCACTGGCTAATGCACAGATTTAAAGGAGCATAATAAGCTGAAGTGAAGCTGTTACGTGACAATCACCTGAACTGGGCCATGCCCTCATTTATGTTTCATAAATTATTTCTTTGGAATGTTCATCCCCCCCTCAAAAAAAGGTTCATTCCCTTTGTCTACAAATCTCACTGTCAGAAACCAACCCTAGGCTATAATCTACAAGTTGGATAAATAGGTAAAAATTAAAATATTCAAAACAAATTAGTCATAGCAGTGGAAAGTTAGAAACCATCTAAATATTTAAGACTTGAGAAACTGGCACAGCATATAATTGAATGCCAATTAGCCCTTAAAAATATTTGCCAGGGGGCTGGCAGGTGGTGTGGTGGGTAAGGTGCGGGACTCGCTCATGGCAGACACAGTTTGAGTCCTAGATATGCCGGCTTGGTTTCTCATTTTCTGTGTGTGTGTGTGTGTGTGTGTGTGTATGTGTGTGTCTCATGCTCACTGAACAGACAGGTATAAAACATTAATAATAATTATTATTATACATAAAATTAAATAATTGTTGAGAGATTTTTGCTATTGGGCATGTGTGCTCACTGAACAGACAGAGAGAAAATGAGAAATTGCCTCCCAAGGGTATGGCCATGCCACAATTCCTTCTCCTCCATTCTCCTCTCAGGATTTAGGGCACACCCACACAAGCACCCGGCATGAGTTCCAAGCCACTGGGTCCAGGACTTGAACTGTGGTTGGCCATGAGAGAGTCCAATGACATCATCATTATGTCATCTGCTTATCCCTATTAAATAAATAATTTTTTGAGAGGCACTATAGGGTGCATGCACTCACAAGACAGACAGAGAGAGACAGAGAGACAGAAAGTGAGCAATCACCCCCTAGGGGGTATGGCCACACCACAATCACTTCTCCATTTTCCTCTCGGGATCTTGGGCACGCTTGCACACGCGCCAGACACTGGACCTGGGACTTGAACCGCGTCGACTACATGAGAGTCTAGCAACAAAGCCATTATGTCAACTGCTGGTCCCAAATAAATAATTTTTAAAAATATTAGTAAGACCTTATAATGATAAACCAACATGTTTATAATGTAATACCAAATGAAAAGTAGACAGGATATAAAACTGTTAAGTGTGCTCTCGACTAAAAATATTAAACACACATACAAAACAATTGTAAAGGAATCTATGTAAAACAAATTAAGAGCCATCTGAAGAAAAAATTATTGGTCATATTTTTCTTGCCTTTACACTTTTCTGAACTTAGCCTGTTTGTTAAAATAATCATTAAAAAAGTATTCATACCTCAAAAAACCGGAGGTAATGTTACCCTAAGCTATAAAGAATGAAGAAATATGGTTTAAAGGTTAAGGTGAGAAAAAGATGATGCAACTATTTAAAACGCTTGTAGACAATTTGAAAATAGTGATTTTCAAAAACTAAGATTATAGGGCCAGCCCTGTGTCAAGGGAGTCGGATTCCTCATGACCAAGTGCAGTTTGAATCCCAGCCCTGGTGGCTTGAAAAACACCACCTATGCACATGCCCCAAACCAGGAAAGGATGGAAAAAGGGAGAAGGAATTGCAGCATGACCACACCTCCTTGGGAGGTGCTTTCTCCCTCTCCTTTCCCCCTTCCCCCTCCTCTCTTCCCCTCCCTCTCTCCCTGGTGAGCACATGTACCCACTGGCAAATTTTTAAATTATTATTGTCAATTATCTGTGCTTACAAAGATAATTGACAAACAGATCTGAAAACATTATTTGCAGTGCAAAGAACAGATGAAATGTTAATCACAGCAATCTATAGAAAGTTCTCACCAATTAACAAAGGGACAAAAAATCCAATAAGAAAATGGGAAAACTGTGTGAAGAAGCACTTCACAAAAGTGTAAAGCCAACAGTGAAAACATTTTTTAAAAGATACTGGAGGGGACAAGCAAATGACGTAATGGTTACATTGCTGGACTGCCACACGGTCCACCATGATTCATGTCCCAGACCGGTGTCTTAGAACTCTCAACAGGTATGTGTGCACGCATGCCCTAAATCGCGAGAGAATGGAGAAGGGATTGTGGCATGGCCATCCCCTCCGGGGAGG